ATTATTTTTAATGATATTTAATATATTTTAAACATTATTTAATTTATTTGTAAATTTGAATACCATATAATGTTGTGAAAGTGATATTCTATAAATTCTTACAAGTGGGTTTAGGTAGGGGTGTTTATGGGTTTGGTTGATCGGGTTGAATACATTTAAACAATTTAATGTTTATGGTTTGAAAAATCTTAACCTAACTCAACCCAAACTAAAGTGCAACCCAACCCAACTCAATCCAAACCGTACGGGTTGGTTGGTTTGATACTTTGGTATATTAAAATATTCTTCTAACCTTGAATATGTTGTTTCTCTACTCATAATTTCTTTTTCATCATCAACCATTTGATACAACTTATTCATATTTCTTACGTATATCACATTTAATTAATTTTCTTAATTTACATATATATGTTCACAGTTACTGAACATATATACGAATGAGTTACATATAGATGAAGAATAGATTGAAAATATGTATATATGAAGAGCGTACGTGATAGTATAGTTGTCTAATGTATATATCAATATAAACTCAACAATCATATTAAATCCAAAAAATAAAAGGATATCGGGTTCATCCAGTTGGGTTGAGTTGAGTTCAAATAATAGTAACTCAATATCAACCCAATACCTACGGTTTAAAAATTTTGCAACTCAATTAGACATCGGGTTGCTTCAGGTTGAGTTATTTCGTGTTGGGTTGGTTGGGTTGATCGGGTTTTTAAGCACCCTAGATTTAGGCATTATTTTTATAATTATAAAATGAATGTTGTTTTATAGGGTAGTTTTGTAATTCTAGAACAGTTATGATCTATTATTTTTTGTGAAATCTTATTGTGGATCAAAGTAGTATTTCGTAGCTAGAAAATAATTCGAACAAGACAAAATCCAAGATGTCGTGTTTAGAGCTACCTTCGTGAAGGTCATTAATGCAAAAGTGAGAATAATCAGAGGAAAATGATTTTTTTTTTCAAAATGACGAAAATACCCCTCAATGAAGCAACATGCAAGAAGTGTGTCACTTTTAACATATTCTTATTAGCAAGGGCGGATTTAGTTACAGGTTAGCGGGGCCCGTTCTCCGACTCTATTGTTATGATGTAATTAAAAATAAATATTATATGGTCATATGAGACTGAGGGAAAACCATGTAAAACGACAGTGAAAATAAAAAATTTAAGCTAGTCAGCAAAGGTTTTTGGTTTTTGAATGAGGGTTTTTCCCTCCAGTGCTTAAAGGCTGAATCCGCCCCTGGTTGGACCGTTGGTGCGATAATTTACTTTACGGCGAGGTTTTTGGTTCAAGTCCAGGATGGTACAGCCATGCCAGAAGAAAGAATAGAAGAAGCGTATGACTCTTTCATACATGCTCCACTTGGTTTTTTTAATACGGTTTATAATTATTATTTTTATTTAACAATATTTAATTATTTTGTACCCTGCTTAAAAAAATAGTAGTTTAAATAATTAAACTACATAAATTCCCTAACAACGTTGCAATGTCAATGAGCAACCAAGGGCATTTTTGTAATTCTATTTTTCTAAATTAAAAAATAATATTTTTAAATCATTTTATATATTAATCGTGTAGTAACGTGTGGCTTGTCAACAATATTAAAAACGCCCAAATACAACGGTCAAACCGGTTGAACCGCCACAGAACATTTGAGAAGTTTAAACCGGATTATTTTAGAATTTGTTTTAGAATTCCTACTAACCGACGCCGTAATAGAAATTATTAAATATAATTTATTATCATCTAATATATTCGATTACGAATCAAAAGACATCGGTAAACATTTACCGTTAAAATTCAACATTATTATTTACTTATCGAATAAAATTTTAGCCAACAAAAACGAACACATATGCAACGATTTATCCGGTAAATGCTAACCATGGTAAGAGTTGTTGTCCTCACTTACCGTGTAAAACTCTTGGTCCTTGTCTCGCTCGTACCGGGTAAGCTTCTTGATCCTTGTCATATCCATTCGGTAAGGTAATGTAACTTGGTAAGTGCTTACCCGGGTAAAATTAATACTTTCTTTTCATGGAAACATTTATTTATCTGAAATAAAATTAATCATATTCAACAGTTAATACTCTCTATGTATTTTTGTTTTGAAAATCATGTGATAATATTTGTAAGTTCATTTTTCCTTTTGCCAAACATTTTTTACGCACAGAATTAATAGAATCAAACTCTACATAAAACAATTTAGATCACTGGCTAATTTCAACTTGGAATCACAGATATCTTTTGTTATATTTTTTAAAATCAAAAACCATGTATGAATTAATTTAGGTTACGATATAATTTCAGCTATTTTTTTTACGATTTCCATATCTATAAATATAATTCTCGAAGATTATTTTTTATTATATTTCTTGATTCGACGGTGAATTTCGTAATTCCAATTTTGTTGTCATCCATAGTGTGGTTTATTGTCTAAGGGGCTGTTTACTTGCGGCTTAATTATGCTTATTGGTCTATTTGGCTTGTTCGAACAACTCATTTGGGTTGTTTACTTACGGCTTATTCGCACAGATAATGGCTTAATTGCATAGATAGAAATGGTGTGTTGTCCCCATTCAGCCACAAAAATGACACCCATACCCCTTATTTAAAGCACCGCCTCCTTCCCATATGAGACACCCCATCTTCGGCCTCTTTATGATTTTTTGTTTTGATGTTCAAACAATTAATATTGGGGGGGTAAATCAGTCATTTATGTTATTCAGACTGTTGGTTCAGATAAAAAAAGTAAACAACAACACTCATTTATCCGGGCAGACAAATTTATCCGGGCAGACATATTTATCCATACAGGACTTAATAAAAAAATTGGTAAACAGACCCTAAGACTATATATGGTTGTTTAAACTACATAACACTCGTTACTAAACCATATGTTTCATTTGTAATTTTTAAATAGTAAGGACATTATTTTACCTTTTCATCCAAGACATCGTAAACCCTAGTTCCGACCATGTTTCAAAGATAAGATCAACATAATTAAATGTTAAGGGTTGTTTGTTTACCTCTTAATAGTTTCATTAAGAGATGAATCTTGTTTGACAAAAAAAAAATCTGTCTCTTAATGATTCTAAAATATTCTAAATGATTTTGTACCATGTGTCTCTCTTAACCATTCAACGCCCTAATTTCCTTGTAAATAATTACCAAATAATTATATTTCAGTTTGGACTATATCATAAGAGCCTCATAATTATTCTACACTAAACTATTTAATTACTACCAAACATCCTCATAATCAATATTCTTTTTAAATATATGTGATTTTATAAGTCGTTAATTTAATATATATCATTGTGGTTTGTTGGAAATAATACTTTTTAATATTTATAATTTTAAAATTATATGATAACACAGTTTGTAAAACGTTCATTAAAAAATTATGTTGAATAAGGGGTATTTTTGGTATTTTATCGATTTTTGTCTTTTACCCAAACAAAATAGATTTTACGATGGTCCATGTTGTTCTTGTTCGGATAAAAGACAAAAAAATCGACAAAAGAACGAAAATGTCCTTCATTTAATAGAATTTTTAACGACCGTTAGATCTATGGACTAAATTCAAACATTTTTGCAAAGTACAATTGCTATTCTGCAATTTCAAAATTGTAAGGATGGAAAGTGTTATTTTGACAAACCACAAGGACTAACTTTGAAGTTTACTTTATTTTAAATTTAACCTCATTTTGGGTTGCACGGTTGGGTTAACTGGGTTGAATGCATTTGAACAATTCAACCAAATGTTTGTCATTGAAAAATCTCGACTCAACTCGGTTGGGTTGAGTTGGGTTGGTCGGATTGAAACTTTGATACATCGTACAACCTAACAAAGTGTTTGTGTTTAAAAAACAAAGTAAAATCAAAAGAATAACATGCAAAAAAGATCAACAAACTTAAAAAAGAAAGTTGAAGCATAGGCGGACCTACATAGGTGCCATGGGTGGCACGTGCCACCGTATCTTTCTCCGCCGAATGGTAAAAAATTTAGGTTTCATGAACGGTGCAACCGTATTAATTTGTTGTGTGTAACCGTATGTATTTTGAAACTACAATGAGAACAAGTTTTATTTGATAGAGTTGGTTTGGAAGGTTTTTATTCTACCCCACACCCAAGTCCTAATCATGTTAGTGTCATTTTCTTAGTCAAACGGTGCCACCGTTTGAAAAAAAAAATCTATATTTTTTTTCTTAAGGTCAAATGGTGCCACCGTTTAAAAAAAATTATGGATCCGTCCCTGAGTTAAAGGTTCATGCAAATAGGAAAATAAAATTACGATTAAAATATTTATATAATTTTAAATACAACTAATTACATATTCGTCCAGGGACGGACCCATAAATATTTTTAAACGGTGACACCATTTGACTATAAGAAACAAATATAGGGAAAAAAAAATTCAAACGGTGGCGCTATTTGAATATAGGGAAAAAAATTCAAATGGTGACACTATTTGACAAATAAAATGACACTAACAAGATTCGAACTTGGGTCTCGGATAGAATAAAAGTCTTGCAAACTAACTCTATCAAATAAAACTTGTTCACATTTATTTTAGAGAAGTTGTTGAAGATGTTCTAAAAATTATTTTTATGTTATCAATTTTTCTTTATTTCATTTAAGGCGAGTTATGTGTCTTTAAATCATGTGACCCGATATAAATAACTATTTAATATAACTTTAATCATGATAATAATATAACTTTATTTTATAATAATTTAATATATTAATTATAATAAATTAAATTTTTAGTAGAAGTGATCATTTGCAGGTCTGGATTAGGTTGGGTTGGGTCGGGTTGAACCTAACTTATTTTCTTTATCCAATGTGTTTAATATTGTAAACCCAAGTGCTTTTTTCGGACAACTTGTCATTGTCCGTCTTATACATGGGTCGGGCTTGCCCACGGGCTAACGGGTCTAAAAAGTGTAAATTCTTATAAATCTATAAACTTGATCACTAGCAATTAATTAACAAATGTGGAACCAAAAAGTAAAGGAAAAACACCGTTACAATTAAAATTTTAAGCAACTGAAGTGATATATGGATCTTAACAATTGGAGAAAGAAATGGAAAGCAAAATTCAAACTTCCATAAAATCAATAATGCATTTTCATGGCTCCATCATGCTACTGCCAATTTCAAACATCCATTGTTGATCGATTAAGGTTTTGACGTAAGGATGCTAACAAAGATAATTTAGAGTCTTTTGGATTCATAAAAAAAACCAAATAGTCCCAACTCCCGTTCTATAACTTTAATAATTTAATTTTAAAATATATTAGTATAAATTTAATTAATGGTAAAAAAATATTAATTATAAAATATAAACGGGTCGGGCAGACCTGCCCATATTTATTTTCACATTGCCCATGTCAGCCCGTTAATTTTAACGACCAAATCCGGGCCCGTCCATTTTCTCGATAATGGTTGTCCAATTCCGTATTTCTAGCGGGCCGGATGGGCCATGTGTAAAGGGTCGTCACCTCCATGAACAACTCTAATTTTTAGTTCATGTTATTGTCATTCACTATTAAATTTGGTTTATATTCTAAATTAATTACAAATTTGATCATTGTGGTTGTCATTTTGTTTCACTTTTCGTTTCCCTGAATAACTATAGTTAGAAGATTTAGTTAATTTAAGAGTATTTTGGTCATTTTATATTTTTTGTTGTATTAGATTATGATATATATATATATATATATATATATATATGGTATATGGTATATTTCTTTTACAACCTTGTGTATTTGTACAACCCTTGCAACCAAATTAATTGAGATATTTATAGAAATRATGGGAGTTCATTTATTATGATTTGAATATTTATGGAATATGAATAGAGTTCATTAATTATGATTAATATTTTATATTAGGAAACAATCAAAACTTCTATGAAATCACATATTCATCAAATGAAATGAACGGTTGAGATTGAGTTGTATTGGTTGCATAAATGTCAAGAACCAACCTCTATATATATATATATATATATATATATATATATATATATATATATATTATAGTTAACATTTATATAGTTTTCCCTGAAAATACTGTTTTTCAAGTTTTATTATAGAAATAAAATATTTAGGGGCCGTTTACCAAACACTTACTCAGTAAGTTCTTACCGGTAAAATTTAACAATATTATTTACTTATCGGGTAAGATTTTAGTCTACCAAAACGACATCGTATTCAACAATTTACCCAGTAAGCGCTTACCATAGTAAGAGTCGTCGCACTCATTTACCGAGTAAGACTCTTGGTCCTTGTCTCGTTTTTACTGAGTAAGATTTTTTGTCCTTACCATCTTCATCCGGTGAGATAGTATGACTTAGTAAGTGTTTATCTGGGTAAGCATTTGATAAACGGCCCCTTAATATACTTTTTTGTTAATCCTTCAATTTAATATTTTTTTATCAATTTGCAATAGTTGGTATTTTGAGTTTATCATCATATTAAATTTATCATTTTAGTTTGTTATTCACAAAAATGAAGTATACAATCAAAGAGCTTTTAGCCTTGCGGTATCGTAGCTTTTGCCTTCCTAGTAGGTCAGAGGTTCAAACCTCACCAAATGTGAGGAGAATGTGTGAGTTTATTTGTTGCATTTGCCGTATATAAATATTATATACTGATAATACATCCTACATTTCAATTTTGATGTTTTCTAGTGAGATGCTAATAATTAAACCAGTTACTTATTACTATGACTAATAATCAGATATTTTAACCACCAACCTTTTTATGAGTTCAGTAGAGAAACCAGTTATTATTTTAATCAGCAATAACACCTACCAAAAAGAAAGTATTTAATGAGTTTTGAATGGAAAGTAAATACCCATATGAACCAAAATGATGAAAGATGAAGCAACATCATCCCAATTCCTAAACTTCATCATGAAGCCTTTGAAAAGGGTTGAATTCATACCACTTTGCCTAAATTTTTAATGCATTTTCTTGATCTTTTCTATCCTTTAATGATTCTTCGACCCTACCACTTCTCATACCAACTTATCTTTGCTCCTTCCATAACCTCAAGAAAACCCGAAGAGTTCTCCAGAGAAACCCAATGCAAAGTTGCAGCCTTTTCTCGATTGTGAGGTGCTTCAATGGATGCCGGGATCATACACAGCTTTCAGGGATCGGGACAAGGGTTTGGAACCTTAGTGACAGGCCTGTTGAGCTTCAGATCAGGGTGGGATCGATACTGAAGAAAGTTCATACGCTCAAGCCTGGTTCATCAAAAAGGTTGAAAAGCAAGAAGATTTACAAGGCGTATGTTCCTGGTGATAAAAGTTGTGGTGGTAGAGCGAGTGGCGGTGGTGGTGGAACGAGGAGTTTCTTGTATTACTATGACGAAACATGCCATCCTTACATCTGGGTACATGACACTGCAGGTGATTTCTCTAGGATGGTAAGGCAACAATACATTAGTCTTGAAGATCTTAGAGATTGTTCCGAGATCAGAATCTTTAGAGATCATGTAAAAGGCTCGATATCCATCAGAAAGAAACCCAGACCTGATTTTTGTTGATTCTTCTTCGTTTGCATGTTTCTTGTAAGATAAGAGTGAAGATTCCTATTATCCCTTTCTACTCTCATTTCAACGTCTTTTGTATAAAACTGTGTACCTTATGCAATGATCAGTGATTTTTTTCTCGTTTGGTGTAAAGAAACAAATGGGCTCGTGGTCTAGTTCGTTGAAACACTAGCAAGTCCAAGACCAAGTTCATTCGTGGTTGAATTGACTCGTAATTTGTTTGATCAGTCGATCATAACTCAAAGTTAATATGGTTCAGGTCCAATAATCGACACACCAAGCGATAAAAACTTTTACTCGTAATTGTTTAGAGATAGTATCATTGTAACTTTAGCTTTTTAGCCGACAAGCCACAAAGTCAAGCCAAAGCTTTAGGCCTACATATTCTTTTTTTAGCCTTGAGTGGTGAGCCAGCCTCAAGCCGAACAAACTTGGGCTTCACCCAATGAGGCAACTCAAAATGGGCCAAGGCCCAAGGGAGATAATGGGCTATGCTATCAAGGGGTCATCTGGTTGGTTTTCATAAATTTGTCTGAATGAATTAATTTATCTGTATAAATTAAAATTGTTTTTGTTTATAAGAGTTTTTTTTATTAATAGAAGAAACGTTTTTAAGTTAGGATGGATAGGTTTGAAGAAAGATTGGCTTTTTACATAAAGCTTCCTTTAAAAACTTACTGAATAAACCATTTTTTATGTCATTAATTCACTACCAAACAATCATATATAACTGACCGAATAAGCTATGAGTGTAGGCATGAGAATGGGGTGGGGACCTCAATCCCCATCCTCATCCCCCTTAGTGATGGCCAAAAACTGGTCTCGTGCGGGGCCAGGTCGATCCTAATCAGTACCAAGCTTTCTCATAACCGGTCCCGGTCGAAAATGGTAAGACCGGTCAAGGTTCGTCATAACTGGTTATGGGTCGCCGGTCCCTGCATTAAAAAATATATTTCTTAATTTTTTTTAATGATATATATTTTTAATACATTATAAAATTTGTAATTGGATCACTCAAATACACTTTAAAAATACGTTGTAGTATAATTAAAATTACGTTGTCTTAAAAAATACATTATAAAATTATTTAAAAATACATTCATTTATAAAATTATTAGAATTTTCGGGCCGGGTCGGTCCCAGTCCCACAAAACTGGCAAAAACCCCAACCGGTCCCAGTTTTCGGTCCCATAACCGGTCCTTACCGATCCCAGGCCGGACCAGTCCTTTGCCGGTCCCGGTTCCGATCCTCGGGTGGTCCCGAGCCGGACCGGACCGATTTGGCCATCACTAATCCCCGTCCCCGAACCCTAATCTTTGTCCACATCCATGTCCCCATCCCCGTTGGGGAATATGATCACATCCTCATCCCCGGTTGGGGAATTAGGGATTTTCCCCCGTTTACGTGAGATATTTTAATCAAATCAATGTGTTAAACACCATATTCAATCCAAAATGATTCATGTTTAAATCTCACATATTTTCACAATTTTGTTTTCATTGATTATCAGATATTCATATATTAACATCATGCATAATTGTTTTATTTTTTCGGTTCTCCATATTTTATGTAAAAAAAAGTAAAACAAATTAGAAAAAATCAAAATACTGTTTTAAATCTAAAAGATATTAAATTTAATTCTTATAAATAATATATTTAATTATAGATATACCATATATTTAATATACAAGAACGGGGCAGGCCGGAGATCACGTCACCTGACCCCGTCCCCATTCTCGGTTTTTAATTTTTCGGTATCCCGTCTCCATCCCTGATTTTGTAGGAAATCTCGTTCACCGTTAAGGGGATACATCGAGTTCCTTAATGGGGCGGGTCTCATTTTCATGGCCACTATTAAACCGCTAACAAATATGCCTTGTGACTAGATGTTATCCTGGTTAAGGATATCTATAAACTCGCAACCAAACATTCCATGAAGAACGATAACGCCTTGCGACTCTCGTCCCTTCATACGTCACCTTTTAGGGGAATCAATCCCTCCCTCACCATCATCATCACTTCATCATACACAAGGAACAAATTGTCTTTCTCACACACACACACTCACTCACACACTTTGATCATCTCAAAATCGCTGGATACTGTGTGTTTATGTGTGTGATTTTGTGATATTTTCTTTCAAGGGAGATGGTGAGGATTATGCCGATGGCGTCGACCATTCGTCCTTCTCTCTCATCGTTCGCCACTTGTCGTTTTGCTCCTGGTGCTATCTCCATGGTCAATTCTTCTTCACGGTTCAATTCGCTTCACTTTGCTTCCAATGGTATGGATATGGATAGGTTTTGTTTTTTTGTTGTTGTTGAATTTTGGGCTTTGATTTGTTGTGTATGTGGATCTGATAAGGTTATTTGTTACTTTTGTGGTTTGAATTCAGTTAATTAGGTTTAATTTCTGCTTATGAATTAATGAGTTTTAGTGCATTTTGTAGAAGTTTTTCTCGTTCTATTCGATTTGTGGTTGAGAAGATGTAGGGATGTATTTGAGCTCGAATTTTTGAAGAGGTATGAGAAGGAGATGGGTTCGAGCTCAATCTTAAATTAGAGCTGCTTCACCGTCTTCTTGTTATTTTGGCAATTTGAACCTAACTAAGCACGAATTAGGACTAAATAAGGAACTGACCGAAAAAGAGTGTTTGTACTAGCCAAAAACAAGCCAGAGTATATTAACTGAGAATGAATCGATAAAAGAAATAGAATGACACAGAGAATTACTAGAATCCTGATAGACTCATCCATGGAGAAACTAAGAAGAGCACAGCAAACTGGGATACAATACAAGTGAATGAATGACACAAACTCAACGGATTCCATGATAGGTAAGGGAAGCTAAAAAGCCATGAAAATGAGGATTTTTAACTAGTAAAAACCTTCACCACCCAAAGAAAGACCACATTAACCCGTGATAACTGCAAAAACCAAACCACTAATGGCATGATGCTCTAACCACCCAAAAGCTACAACTCCTGAATCTAATGTGAGGCAAAGAGTTAAACATGTTTGTATCTTATATATATACTATGATGTATTAGCTAACGTTGTGTTAATTTTTATATGTTCATTAAAGGTGGGAAAATGAGGAATGTAAGGCTAAGTGAACTTGATTTAGATCCCCAAACCAGTGGTAGCTCCCTTAAAGAAGTCTAGAGATTGCAATATATTGGTTTTTTTATGCTGACTAATAGATTTAACAAAAGGCTTTCCATGATATTACTTGGACCAGGAAGACAGGGCAGTAAGTTATGTGATCATGTGCATTATTTTGTTATGGCCAAGCCCAGTGGTTTAAGGGGGAAGAACGTTCCTCCAAATTGAGAGAGACTCTTACAAGATTTAGGGTTTAAAAGGAGAATATATTCCATGAGTCCTCAATGACCAGAGGAAAAGCAATATATAGTAGGGTATACCCCACACTTACCATTACATCATAATAGAATATGGAAACTATCAGTTACATCCTTATACCAGCTTCTAGAGTAACTTGGTCACCATCATCACTTGTATAGGATGAAGGGGGACCATTTCTTCGGCTTGTTGATAATTCTTTTCGGCCTTGCCTCTTGGGTCTCTTTATTGACTTGGGTATGGGCTGTAGCACCTTCTGAGTTGGGCTTGACCATATAAATTATCATCTCTATCTGTATTTAACTTCTCTCTAATGTCTAATCGACTGTCATGGGAGGATGTGTTAACTTCTATGGGCATTGTATGGTTCTAGCTCATACTCTTACTAATGAAGTCTTATCATATATTTGTCCAGTGGAATCACAGTCGCAGCGTTTTGGGCTTAAAGCTTGTAAGTTATTTAGAGGAGAAGGAAACAGCAAGTCTGTTAAAACAATTGTAAGCATGGCCCAGGGAAGCACCGCAACCACTCAGGAAAATGCCTTGGAGTGGGTAAAAAGTGACAAGAGAAGAATGCTTCATGTTGTGTACCGTGTTGGTGACATGGACAGAACAATAAAGTAACCTTTTGAATCACATTATGATAATTTCCAATGCTTAAGTTCTTTTATCAATACATTGATGTCACTTGAAATATGTGTGCAGGTTCTATACAGAGTGCCTGGGGATGAAGCTGTTGCGAAAAAGAGACATACCTGAGGAGAGATACACCAATGCATTTCTTGGATATGGACCAGAAGATTCTCACTTCGTGATTGAACTCACATACAGTAATCCATCTTGAAACTACTTTTTATAATGTGTAAATCTGTAACTACCATCGATGTTACCTCCAAACTCACCACATTTTATCTAGAAAAAGCATGTGATGTGATACACGTCCTTTCTCCTAATTGTTACAATCTCTCTCCTGAAAGAAAATAAGAAGTGATAACTTTGATGGTAACATTACTGGTAGTTGTATATTTGTTCTCTTATAACATTCACTTCTATAGTGTATCACTTCAAATGAGGCACATTGGTTATAGCTCACAAAGCCCGGGACTTCCAAGCATGCTTTTAGTACAGCAAAAAGGTCCAGCTTTAACTGGGTCTTTAAAAAAAAGGTTGGCCTGATTGGGCTTTGGGCCTGCTAGGCCCAGGCTTCGGGCTTGAGGCTTTTTTGTGCATCTCTAGTTGGTTAGTACTTATGGTCAATAATAACAAAGATTCTTTGCTTTTGACTAATTTGCATTCCTGCTGCCAGATTATGGAGTCGACAAATATGATATTGGATCTGGATTTGGTCACTTTGGCATTGCGGTAGATGATGTGAGTGAAACTTATACCATTTGAGTTTTCTAGGTTCTTGCATATTCTTGCCTATGCATATACACTGTGAAGTGCCTGCTCTTGATTGAGACTCCTGCAAGATGCAGAACTGGCGTCTAAGTTTACTAACTCAAGCAGATAATGTCAATTATAGCCTCCAAAAGTTGGGGGATTTTGTCACTTGTATCAGTTAGTCCCATTTCTTTTAGGGATGAAGTTGATATGTTTCTAAACCCCAGACCCTACTTTCGAGGGTCTTCATGGAAACAACCACTCTACTCCTTTTGGGTAGAGGTCAGGTCTGCGTACATCTCACCCCAGACCCAACTTTCGAGTGGGATTTTTGGTTTGGTTTGGTTCGGTTCGGTTAAGACTTTGGGCTTTTGCAGGTTGCTAAAACTGTGGATCTCATAAAGGCTAAGGGTGGCACTGTAACCAGGGAACCTGGTCCTGTTAAAGGTGGGAAGTCAATTATTGCATTTGTTGAAGATCCTGATGGTTATAAGTTTGAACTTATAGAGAGAGGTCCTACACCTGAACCACTTTGTCAAGTCATGCTTCGTGTTGGAGATCTTGATCGTGCCATTACTTTTTATGAGAAGGTGTGAGGTTGCTTGATAAGAATCTACTCTCTCCGTCCCAAAATAAGTATTCATATTTCTATTTTAGTTTGTCCGAGAATAAGTGTCCACTTTCAAAAGTAAGTAACTAAGTACCTACTTTCCAATTCTACTCTTAATTATGAGATGGAGATATTCATTAATCTCTCTATTATCAAGGGTTAAATTGTCATTTCGTTGATTAAAAATTGTAATGTTTAGACATTTCTAAAACTGTTTGCCTTTCTCATTGTGGACATCTATTTTGGGACAGAGGGAGTATTTGTTATCATGTTCAATATATATTTTTCACCAGAATTTATGACCTACATCTCCTTGCCAGCTAACTTCATGTTTTTTATCCTATATGTACTTTAGGCTTTTGGTATGGAGCTTCTGCGCCGAAGAGATAACCCTGAATACAAGGTAAACTGACCTATGTGTTTGTGCATGTGTTGAGCCAATTTTAGAGAAAGTTGTGTCTAACACCATTTACACACATTATAAAGTATATACCATCTGTGCCGAAATTAGTGTCCACATTTCTATCTTAGTTTGTCTCAAAATAAGTGTCCAATTTCAAAAGTGCCTCCTTTCCAACCTACCCTTAATTATGAGATGGAGAAATTCCTAACATCCTCTATTAAGGGTAAACTATCAATTAATTAATTAGTTAAATGTAATAATTACACATCTCTAAACATGTATGACTTTTCTTTATCGAGGACGTTTATTTTGGGATGGAGGGTGTATTATATTTTCTCTCCAAAGTCATGTAAATTCACACCAATTCTGGCATTGAAAGTACTCCATTTTACTCCCAAAGTCAGAACAGGTGGATGGTGGGAGTACATTGTTCATTATTTACAAAAGATGTCTAGGCATTGTGATGCTTGTGCTGTTGTGCAGGGTACCTGTTAGCAGATGCTATAGTTGTCTTTCGATATTATTCCAAGGGTTTTTACTCTTTACGTTATTGTCTGCATATTCGGAATCTTGAATTTCCCATGTTCAAAAGTTCCGAATAGGATATTATTGTCTTGTTATACAATCCTGTGTGATGCAAAACAATTGATTGATTCTGCAGTACACCATTGCAATGATGGGTTATGGACCTGAAGATAAAAGTGCTGTACTGGAGTTGACTTACAATTACGGGGTCACTGAATATGACAAAGGAAATGCTTATGCTCAGGTCAATAACGATATGTTTTGTTATTATTGTCCTTCGAGATGCACAAGGCTCAGGCCTTTTCGGGCCTAGGCTGATACCTTCCAATCCCCATTCGGTAAGGAAAAAATACCTGAGCTGGGCCAGGCTTTGGGTGTAAAATGTGTCCAGTCGGGCTTTTCCATGCTTTTTCAGACAGGGGTTTAGTCGGGCCTTGAAAAAAAAAATACTTGGCCTGGGTCCGGGGATGGTCTTACTAGGCCCGGAATATTTGGGCGGGGTTCGGGACTTTTTTTGCATCTCTAGTTATCATTCTATCATGGAATTCATCCTAAAGGACCAAATGTGCTAACTTATCCTAATCTTAATAACAGATAGCAATAGGCACCGATGACGTTTATAAAACTGCGGAAGCGGTTAAACTTTTTGGTGGGAAGATTACCAGAGAACCCGGACCTTTGCCTGGCATCAGCACCAAAATTACAGCGTGTTTGGATCCTGATGGTTGGAAGACGGTAAGCTCATATACTCAGTTTATTAAGCTTTTGCTGGAATATTTACTGTTCTTCTTATGTTGATTTTCTTTAACTTTTTTGTTAATTAAAGTTGACTTTCATCTAGGATAATTTCTTGGTTTCTTCTATAGTTCTATACATGATTAGCCATCATTTATGCAAATTGTTATGATCCAAACTCATGGCCCAAGATTTGACTCCACACATTATTTAATGGAAGTGTTCGACTTAGTTAAATATCTACGATACCCTCAACAATGAGTAAATAGAAGAATCTCTGTGACATAAATTAGGGTGCGTTTGGTGCGCAAACAGGACAGGACAGGACAGGACAGCTGTTCAGCGTTTGGTAAGACAGGACAGGACAGGACTGGTTAAAATGACCGATTTACCCTCAATGAGCTGTTTAGTGTTTTTTCACCAAAATCAATCTTAATTAAAAACTCACAAAAAAGCCAAGTGCTGTGTTCACTACTCACAAATAAATGGCAGTCAAATAAGCTGCTGTGTTAACTACCACAAACAATGAAACAATTGAATGAAGAAAATCTTGGGCTGTGTTCACTACTCACAAACAGAGCTAGCTGTGTTCAGTACTCACAAATAAGCTGCTGTGTTCACTACCAAATTCGATCAAGGAAAGGAATCAAGAAAATCTACTACAAACAGAGCTGTTGTATTCGCTACCACAAACAATGAAACAATTGAATGAAGAAAATCTTGGGCTTGGTTCACTACTCACAAACAGAGAAGCAACAGTCGGGTAGGGGAAGATGGTCGCCGTCGATGGGGAGGAAGCGAGCGCCGTCGAGAGGAGATGGTCGCCGTCGATGGGGAGGAGAAGCGATGGAGGCGGACTGTGTGTATGGAGAAGGGATGTCGCCGTCGATGGGGAGGAGAAGAGATGTCGCCGTCGAGAAGGGAACTCCCGTCGCCGTCGAGATGGAGAAGGAGAAGGAGAAGGAGAAGGTTAGGGGTGCGATGGAGTGGCGGCGTCTTTGGCAGGTGCAGGGGCGCCGATTGATGGAGGGTGCGATGTGGGGAAGAAAGGGGGTAGGGGTAGTGTGGTAAAAATGTTTGTGTTCCACTTAGTTCCAAGGGTAAGGAGAGAACAACCGTGTCCCATCCTTGTCCTAGTTAGTTCTACTTAGTTCCATATTAAGTCATACCAAACGTAGGACAAATGTGTTATGTCCTGTTCTGTCCCACCTTGTCCAGCGCACCAAACACACCCTTAGTGAATAGAGGAATTTTGGTGACATAAAATAGGTAACTATTAAGAATTAACAAATATGTGAATTATGGATAAAACTTTGCCAAGAGAGGATATGTTTGTATATATATTGGGACATCTCGAAAAGAAATTGTAGAAATTATTTTAGATGGAAGTAAAAATATATGAAGGTTACAATCTTTTAGGGTTCCACCTTGTTACAATGTCTAGTGGCCTAGTTTGAGATGAGAGACTAGTACTAAAATGTGTGTATTCTAGTAATTTATCCGACACATAACAATGTTATTTTTAATATATTTTGTTGAATATTTGATTCTACCTAAGAGCATCTTCAACAGCTATGTTATTTTTTATTTTTCCAAATTAGAGTATTAAGAGTTAAATTCTCTAAAAAAATTTACATCCAACTCCAACAGCTACTATATTTTGGCAATTCTACCATTAACTATATCATCAAAATATTCAATACATTTAATAAAATACTATTTCTCTCTCCTAAACACTTAATTCCGATGTCTCCTATTGGTGAGAAAGAATTAAATATTATTTCTCTATCTAAAATATGGAGTTTTAAAGATTTCTGCAAATTTGGAGATTTTTACGCTCTCTCTTCTTTATTTTATTTTAGCATACGATATAGCATAGCTGTTGGAGCAAAATTATACCCTAAATCTCCAAAATCTCTAATTTAGCAAAATCTATATCTTAAAGGTGCATCCGCTTTAATTTGATGTGTGTTCTTTCAAGTCAACAAAAAGTGGTGTCAGCCTATTCGGTGGTGTCATTGCATGCGACATTTGCTGATTTGCAAGTTGGAATCCTTTTGGCTTTCTTTTAGTTTTTTGGTAACAACAGCAAAAAAGTAGGAAAAAACCCCTTGTATGTCTTTTTAATAAAACTGTACTTTTTATAATTATTTTATTTCATATTATGTTAATTATTTTGTGCCCGCTTGGAAAATTTTTCTCCTTACCTTCATCCTTAGGGGTACAAATTGTTGATAACACCTATAATATTTAAATTGGAGACTTAGAACTAGGTCACCTTCTACAAAATGAATTTCTTTAATTTTCTGTATATATTTATATACGGAAAATAGTCACACGCACTTATCCTCTTTGATGAAGTTTGACCCCTTGATTTCCTGGGAGACTGTTTTCTTCCTGTAACACAAATACTGCTGTGCCGATCGCCCTTTGGTTACAATAGATGATTTTTTTAGTATATAATGTTTATATACAAAAAATACTCACATACACTCCTCACCTTTAGTAAGGTTTGAACCCTCGACCTCCTAAGAGGCTAGGCTCTACTGGTAATTCGAATACGGCTTGGCCAATGATCCTAGTAGATGATTTTTTCTGAAGTATATAATATATATATATATATATATATATATATATATATATATATATATATATGACAAATTAAATGCAAACTTTCTAAATGTTACAAACCTACAAACCAATATTTATGGAAATGATAAAACTTCATTTATTATGATTTGAATATTTATGGAAGATGATTAGGGTTCATTAATTATGATCAGCGCTTTATATTAGGAAACAATTGATATATTTATGAAACTAGATATTTGTTAGCCTAAATGGACGATTGAGATTGGTTGTAACATTTACATGGTTTGTATTTGATTGGGACTATATACATACAGAAAATACTAACACACGCTATTCACCTTTGTTGAGGTTTGAACGTTTGACCTCCTTGGAGGCTGCGCTCTACCGGTAATCCGGATATTGTTGTGCCAATGACCCTTTGGTTACAACCTCGTATTCATATATTGACAAACCTTAACATTCTCGTCAATATATTGCAGGTCTTTGTCGATAACATCGATTTTCTGAAAGAACTAGAATGATGTGGAAATTCTACTCAGTTCAGATCCAGAGTTCAGCGAATCATCTACTTGGTAAGCTCCATATTTGATCAGAAACACGATTCTTGAAAGAGGAAGTCGCGTATCAGAGGGTAGCGAAACCCCCATTTTGTAGATATAAATTTGATCAGTGGTTGTAACTTATCACAACGGAAATCGATAGCGCAGGCTACTTGTCGGTAAACATGGCGAATAATGTACAGACCATTTTGTTTTGGTGAAATTAGTTTTAGAAACTAGGGAAACCACAACTTCTGTATCAGTTCTTTTTCCAAGTTTATTTTCATTTTTGTGGAGAGCAGATTCAGAAGATTTCATGTTACTTTGCCACTTTGATCTTCACAAAATGTGTCAATTAGTAGCTCTTGGTCTTTTTTGGGTCAAAGCGGGTTTCGAGAGGTTAACTTTCAGCTTATGCGCACTGACTAATCCTAGGTGACCACGATTGGCCTGGAGTCATCGCAGGTTAACTTTCATGGTCACAAGGGCTTTGGCAGTGTCTGATGCCGTTTTTCAATGTTTGTGCAAATATATCATCCTAGAACTAGACTATGTTATACTCTATGTGCTACTTCTACATGTTACGAAACTACAAATGTTGGTATTCTGATTTTACTGACAACCGACAAATAAATGCTAGGCGTTGGGGCTCCTTATAGGTTATCTGTTTGAGTCTTTTCAGGATGACTAGAGATTTTCTTGACTGTTATTTCGCGGGTTACATAGGATTACTCGAGATATGTACAAGTTGGTCCAAACTCGGGAAGTTAGTTGAAGGTGTAATTCATTTAATAACATATTGAAAATAATCATCTGTCATAGATTTTTCTGAAAAATTGGTTCTTAGTGGTTTTTAATCCAATACCATAACGTAGTTGATAGGAGTGTGTAAAAAGTCATCTGATCCAGTTTAAAGTGATTGATCCAATTACAACCGATAGATCATAATCGGATCCAAAATTTCAACATCCAAATTGGATCGGTCGATTCTTGGATGACAGTCCGAAGTCCTATAAAACCGAATTGATCTAATCTGATAACCATCTATTTACCCATCCAACTATCATCCAATTAGTCAATGTATATAATTATTAACATTTTATATTTATATGTAGAGTTTTTTAATAAATTGAGAAAGTATAAGAATAGTTGTTTTAAACAGTGGAATGATTGAAACAAAATATGGGATAGATTGAGTCTGATTCAATGAATAACCAATAGTAATATCTAGTGGATTTTAATATCGATTCAATCCAATCATCTATTGGATTTGATGTCCAATGTTAACCGGATGACAAAATCCAACATTCAATAGATGATTGGATCCGATTGGATCCACCTAAACTCATTGGATTTCAACTGAAGAACACCCATAGTAGCTGGTTCAAGCATGATTAGGAACTATTTGTTCGGTACTCTTAACAATTTCAGAATTTTATAACCTTTCATAGGTTAGTCAATGGTAGGATTGTCGATCCTTTAGTCATTTACAACCCCCTTTAACTAGAACTGACCATCATGGTTTTTTAAAAGTTTTGTTTACAACAATTACCCCAAAGACTGTAGACGAATGATCGTGTGAGAATAAGAGTTAAGGCGAGAAACCTAAGAAATGATCTGGAACATTTATCACCTTTAATCTCAAACCTACCCATGAATGACACTTGATACAGGGATTGATACGACGCATCTTAGTGCATCTCATGTTAATGTGCATCCAAGAGTGGAGATCCCTTCTTACGCTTCTCATTTTAACTTTCATTCTCACAGGAACCCAACCCAAGATCATAATAATGTTTGACTCGTTTAAGTGGTGATAATTACGGGTCGTTCACCAAACTCTTACTATATAAACGCTTACCAGTGTCACTTACCTTACCGGGTGAGCATCGGTAAGAGGCACAACGAGGATTGGATAATCTTGCCCGATTAGTGAGGCAGAAGACTCTTACCCAGTAAGTGTTTATGGTAAAAGACACTTGACAATTCATTTTGATTGTCAATGATTTTACCTGATAAAATAAGTGAGGGTGATGACCTTGCCAGTAAACGCTTAAGGGGTAAGCATTTGGTAAACAATTTGCATGGTTATAACTTTACTGCTTTCAGTTAACTTATATAAAGCTATTTGTTACAAATTTCAATTAATCAAATGACAATTTACCGTTAATAATAGTTAGAGAGTTAATTAATGGCAGAATTAAATATTGAATATTTAGGGGGTGTTTGGTTCGTTGGATTTCGACGGAATCTGAAAAATTGGAAATGATCAATTCCCTTAACCAAATTAGTATTCCGGTGTTTGGTTCACCTGTGGAATAGAGTCGAATTCCGCACATTCCACCATTCATGTGTCTGTCATTCCATCATAATTGAAAAGAAATTCAATTCCATTCCATCCCATTTTCTCAAAAGACAATATATCCCCATTTTCCCTACTTGATTTACTTAGACCCATATGATTCCATCTGAACCACCTCCTATCACCATCGATCTGAACCACCACCGATCTAAACCACCAAAACGGAACCACCATCGATCACCACCGATCTAAACCACCAAAACGGAACCACCATCGACCACCACCGATCTAAACCACCAAAATGAAACCACCATCCACCACCACCAATCTAAACCACCACTGTAAACCGCCTCCAACCACCACCAATTTGAACCATTGTCGACCACCATCGTTCTGAACCACCGTCGACCACCACTAATTTGAACCATCGTTGACCAACACTGATCTGAACCACCATTCTAATCGACAACCATTATAAAAAAAAATATTTTGATCATTTATCGTTTATTCATTCAAATTCCGAAGCTACATTCTACCGACTAAACATGGAGATTCCAAATCATCTAACAAATTGCATTCCAATTCATTATAACCAAACATGCAGTCAAATTCCATTCCAACTCTTTCAAAGTTCAATTTAATTCCAATTCCTTCGAAGTCTAATTCCCTCTTTCCAAAGTTAAATTCTTTTTAAAAATAGAATCTGATTTTCAAACAAACTACAATAAAATATTTATTTTAAGATCTTATAAAAATATTTTAACCTGTATTAGTTTTTCTATATTAATAATATTTTTTAACCTTTTAAATAAAACATAAGAGCATTTATTTTAAAGATTTTCCAATTATTTCTAATTTTTTTTTCTATTTCAGAAAAAAGTTTAACATAGCTCTTAAGTAATTTTTATTAAATATTTAGAAATTTTAAAATAAATGGTTGTTTGTTTACCTTTTAATAGTTTTATTAAGATGTAACATCTGAATCATTAAAAGGTGAATCTTGTTTGACAAAAGAAAAGTCTGCCTCTTAATGACTATAAAACCCTCTGAATGATTTTGTATCATGGATCTCCCTTAACCATTAAGAGCCCTAATTTCATTGTACATAATTATCAAACAATTATATTTTACTTTGCAATATATCATGAGAGCTTCTTAATCATTCTGACCACTTAATCATTCTGTATCAAAGCATTCAACAATTATCAAACCGCCTCTAACATAGTTGTTGGAGACGTTGATAAATAAACCATTGTATCTTTTTTTTTATCTAATTAGACCCTGTACTTCTGGGTTCTTACAAAATAAGCCCTTATACTTTTGACCTAATTACACCTTGTACATATGAACTTTTACACAAAAGGCCCTTCTATTTCATACCCACGCATTAAAATAACCTTTCTTCTTCCCTCTTCTAGTAACTTGGCGTTTTGAACACATCCCATTTTTCATTACAACAAAACCCTCTCTGTAAACCAAAAACCACTAGTTTGCCTCAAACCCTAGAAGATGGAAGACGATGAACAAACCAAGAACGACGACGTACGAGCAATCGATGCCAAAGGTCAGCAATCCGGCAAGAAGAGAAAAAAGCCCAAGGAAGTTGCCATCTTCGGCAACTACAGAAACTACTACAGTTATCGCGTAAAATCCTCGTTTCTCGAATAATCTCATCTGTCGTTTGTTTCTTCGTCTTTTACTTGCATGTTCGTTTTATATAATGTCTGTATACATTTGTAATTGCATAGGGTTTACTGTTATAATTGTTTATGGTGCGCATTGAAGGTTTGTTGGTGTATGATGGGGTTTAGATGATTTTGGGATTATTTGATTTGGAGAGCATTATTTTTCTCTGAGTAAATGGGAAAAACTGAAGCTTGATTGCTAGGGTTGTTTGTGAAATGAATGGAGATAGTGGAAACAGGGAAGTAAAGTGTGATATACTGATGCACACACACACACACACATATATATATATATAGGAAGAGAGAGATTTGGGTTCAAACGAGAACAATGATCAAATAAGAGGACAAAGAGAACTAAAATCCCGTGTAAAATCACATTTGATTCATCATGTTGCCGGCCAAATTGCCTGCCCACCCTTTATTTGACCGTATTCCTTAATTGAATGTGATTTCAGTGCAAAATCATATGTAATTTGGCCATTTTCGTGTTTTCTTATTTTGATCATGTTTTCGTTCGATACTTCTAATATATATATATATATATTGGGTTAAGGGTAAAAACAACAAGAAAATGAAAAACTAAGGAATACTCTGGTAACCATTCATCTTTACAGTATGCACATGTGTATAAAAGTAATTTGTTCAGTATGAACATGTACATAAAACACACACATGCATAGAAACCAAGAAGCATTTCAGTTACTTTTATTATGCAGATGTGCATACCGTACGGGTATTCCTTCTGTAATCTTTTCATTTTTGTGGTTTTCTCGTGAACCTTAGTCTTTCTCTCTATATAAGTTTCTTATTGCTGAATTTGAACTCACTGAAGTATGAATATTGGCATCTTGGGTTCATTTGCACATCATGCCTAATTGCATATATTCTTGAAAACAATGTTTTTTTGTTGTCTTGTTCTATAGTGAATGGTTAGCATTCAACTCTGTACTCATACATGTATCTATCTGTTCAAAGGGAAACAAATTAAATACCCGTGGCAAATAAAATATTGTTATGTTGGACTGAGACTATTACTTAACATCCTCAAATCATCTTGTAAATTGTTTGATTTGTGTTTTCACTTGCATTTTGCCTTCCCTTTCGTGTTGCAGATTGATCAAGGCTTGGAAGAAGATCCTAGGATAAAGATTATGAAGAAGGAATGGTTTGAAGGGAAAGATTGTCTTGATATTGGCTGCAATAGTGGGTTGATAACCATTACAATTGGTAAATCTTCGGCTTTTGTTTTTGGGTTATAACTTGCATGTTCCATGTTTCTCATGATATATAGCTTTCTTATTTGAACCAATCTCTCTCTCTCTCTCTCTTTATATATATATATATATATATATATATATATATATATATATGTAGGGTCAGGTTCAGGGAAAACCACAAAAAAATGAAAAACTAACACCCTGGTAACCCTTCATCTGGACAGTGTGCACAGGTGCATACAAGTAACTTGTAAGTAACTTGCCCGGTATGCACATGTGCAAACGTCTAGATAAATGGTTACCCAGGTGTTCAGCTTTTCATTTTTTTGGGGGTTTTCCCTTGAACCTCCCCCCCTTTCTCTCTCTCTCTCTCTCTATATATATATATATATATATATATGTATGTATATATACATATATAAATCTGTATGTTTCTATGGCAACAATCAATAGTTGAACAAAAGATTTCACTTCTAAACCATTGTGTTTTGTAGTTTTCATCTGTGTGCTTGTCTTTACAACTTTCCTTGATACACTATTTGATTGCATATTTGATCTGTTTGTATGTGATGGATTCGATCTGAATGTGATTTCTTGATTGCAGCAAAAAAGTTTGGTTGCCGGAAAATCCTAGGAATCGACATAGATTCAGGTCAGTGGCACATGTGCATCTGTTTTGCTCTTGAAAAAAAAGAAAAATCTTGTACATGGTATCATTCCTTATAATGAGAAGATGAGAATAAGCATTATATATCCAAATGTATGAAACACATTACACTAATATACACACACACACACACACATATATATATATATATATATATATAGGGGCTTAATCATTTGAGAACTCCAAAATTTGTGAGATACATGGGAACTTCTACCTTAAGCTTTTGTTTCACATGATCTTTTTCCGGTCTGAATATAGTATCTAATGTGTTGATTACCATATATTTGTTTCACAATGTGTTTGTTTCACAATGTGTTTGTTTCATATGTGTTCGTTTCACAATGTGAAACTTATTTACTTGTATTTTTTGTTTCACAACACGTAAAAGATGTTCACATTGTGAACCACATACATGTGAAACAAACATATATTATTCAATGTTCTAAATCCTAGTCTTAGATGGAAAAAGATCTTCTGAAATAACTCATGATGCACAAGTTCTCAAGGTTATCACAATCTCATAGGTTCTCAAAAGAAGGCCTCCCTATATATATACATCACTGTTCTAAAAGGCTCGCTGCAAAAGCCGCCATGGCACTGTGGCTCAAGGCTTGTGTCCCACGCTAAGTTAAGTTTGTGGCACACGATGGTCTAATGTGCAGTGTTTTTAATGCGATATTTTGATTTCTTACCTTTTTGATGTTTTATTTGTTAGTTTTTATTATATAACCTAATTTAAATTGTTCATTATCATTGACTTATTGAGTAATGGTATAAAACATATGTTTATATATATATATATATATAATAGGCGAAGGATCGTGTGAGAAAAAGAGTTAAAGTGAGAAGCGTAAAAAGAGATCTGAACCCTTGATCACTTTTAATTTCATGCCCACCCATGAACTGTGCTTTAGAAGGGAATTGATCTTGTGCATCTCTGTGCATCTCATTAGTGTTGGCATTCAATTAGGATTGATCCAAGGGTGAAGATCTCTTCTTACGCTTCTCAGCGTAACTTCTCTTCTCAACGGAACCCAACCCTATATATAATATGAGAGTCAGGTTCAAATGAGAACATTAACTAAATAAGAGAATACGAAAACTGTCGGATTACATGTGATTTTACACTAAAATCACATTCGATTCACACTGCTTTGGCCGTGATTTGAGGTAGCGGGCCACGTCGCCCACATACCCTTTGCTCGTGATTTGGTCGTTTTTCTGTTCTCTTATTTAGTTACTGTTCTCTTTTGAACCCCCCTCTATAATATTATATATGATATAGAGATTTGCTGCCATAAGTAACACTTTGAGAAACGCTGTGGCTTGGCTGTGGATCCTAAGGCTTGAGGCTTGGCCTTACTGTAACGTCACGCTTCATGCCATTTAGAACCTTGATATATATATGTATATATATATATAAAGAGAGAGAGAGAGAGAGAGAGAGAGAGAGAGGGAGGGAGGTTTCATTAGGAAGTAGGAGCCTCATTTTCATTGAGAACTGTGTAACCACTAAGAGCGTGCCATATTCATCATATTCATCATGAATATGGGACGTGAATTTTTTACAAATGTTATCATGAATACATTCATGATGAATGTCCACATGGCGCGCTCTTAGTGGTTCCAACTGGTTCTCAATGAAATTGAGGCTCCTAAAGAACCTTCCCCTATATATACATGTGAGGTTGTTGATTCAACTTACTAGAGGATTGCATTGTTAAACTAAAGAATACTTGCCGCTCTTCATTTTTCAGCTCGAATTGACGATGCCCATTGGAATCTTCGGAAAATTGTGAAGATGAGTGAACGTAAGAAGCATCCACCGGCTGACAAGTCAAAAGATACTGGAACGGATGGTATAACCAATTTACGAGATAAAATGAGCATTGAAATTTCAGGGGATTCTCCTGCTTCACATCTGTTTGATCGAGTCTCTTTCAGGAAAGATAATTTCGTTCAAGGTTGGCCCACACCAAGCGATAAACTCTACGATACCATTCTTTGGTAAGTTTATTCTTTTGCTCTATATTGACAAGTCAAAAGAACATCCCATTGCCGCGTTTTTTACCTGCCATGTCAGGGTGCTTTAGAGCTGTTTACGAGTGGGATGGCCCGCTAGAAAAGCGGGCTTGGATTACCATTCTTGAAGAAATGGGCGGGCTTGGACTAACTTGTTAAAATTAATGGGCGGGCATGGCGATGGAAAAAAAATTGGGCAGGCCCGCCTGACTCGTCAATATTTTTTTATAATAATTCAATTCTATAATTGAAATTTACAAATAAAATTGAAAATTCTTGATATTTGTCAATTCCCACTTAATTATGACTCAGGATAATAACAGCCTTTAAAAAACTAAAACGTTAAAAATCTAAAACGTAAAAACATAATTACCTCAACTGATCAATTCCTTATTATCTCATTTGGTCATTTTCCTTTATAGATACTCCATATTTTGCGAAACGATTTTTTCTAAATTATATACGTTATGTATTTATGTCTAATTTTAAGTTTGAAAAATTGTTATATATTTTGAATTATTTTAGATAACTTGTGATTTTATATTAGTTTTGTTTTGTTTTGTTTAAAATATAACAAGTTTTTTAGGCCCATTAGCCCGTGGGCAAGCCCGGTAGTTTATAGGGCGGATATTGGCAAGTTTTCAAGCCCGTGAAAAAGGGGTTGGGTTTGCCATGTTAGGTCCGTTGGACAAGAATAATAGGTTAGGCCCGGCCCGAGCCTGCAAATGATCAGCTCCGGTGCTTATATATGTGTGTGTGATATGCCAATTTTCCGCCTGAACTTTACCAGATGCATTAATTGGAGTACAGAGAGGAGTATATTTGTCAAATTGGTTAAAGTCGTAGTACGTTGTTAAATTGGCAGATAACCTGGATGGTAGGCAGTAGAAAAGGCTAGAAAGATTACACCTTTCGGTCTGTTTGTTAGCAGCTTAACGAGCTTAATGGGACTCATAGCTTATTTGGTCAGCTATACACGACTGTTTGGTAGTGGATTAATGATATAAAAAGTGGCTTATTCCGTAAGCTTTTAGGAGAGAGCTTTATGCAGAAAACCATGTTTTTTCCAATATGTCCCTCCCAGTTAAAAAACACTCCTTCCATCTATGGAAAAACCCTCCCAAACAAAAACCTTCCCGATCTATACAGACGGATTAATCCACACAGACAGCTTTATCTATACAGGACTTAATTGAAAACCAACCAAACAGCCCCTTTTTATCTTGTTTATATTCTGATTCGTTACGGCGGTTGGGATTAATTGCATTTCTATTCGACGATGCAGCCTAAGTGTTTCAAAATGGATCCATTTGAATTGGGGTGACGAGGGTTTAATAACACTGTTCTCGAAGGTTTGGCGGCTTCTTCAACCTGTAAGTGTTACATGTGTGGTTCTTTTGCTTAATTTGCTACAAATTTATTACTCCCTAGTCCCAAAATAAGTGTTTATATTTCTATTTAGTTTGTCCCACTTTCAAAAATCAAGTGTCTACTTTCCAATTCTACCCTTGAGTATGAGATGGAGAAATTCATTATTCCTCTGTTATTATTAAGGATAAAATTATCATTTAGTTAATTAAAAAGTGTAGTAATGACACATTCCTAGAACTATGTGCTTTTTTCGTTGTGGACATTTATTTTGGGGCGTAGGGAGTATCTTTTGAGGTGACATTTCTTGCACCTCTTTTTTTTCGTCTCTCGTATCTAATGCATTAGTATGATCCCGAGTAGGGTGGAGTTTTTATCTTGGAACCTCAGCCGTGGAAATCATATGTCAGTAACCGTCAAGTGTCAGAGGTATAAATTCAGTTATATCCTAAATTTGATCTTTTGAAGATTTGCATTATAGAGGGAAGTTCGGGGGAAAACCCCCAAAAAATGAAAAACCGAGGAACATCTTGATAACCATTCATCTTAACAATATGCACATATGCATACAAGTAATTGAAGCCATTTCTTGTTTTTTATGCACGTGTGCATGTTATGCACATTTGTATACCGGACAAATTGCTTACAAATTATTTGTATGAACATGTGTATACTATCTAGATGAATGGTTACAGGGGTGTTCTTCAGTTTTTCATTTTTTTTGCGGTTTTCCTCTGAAGCTGACCCTATATATATATATATATATATATATATATATATATAGAGAGAGAGAGAGAGAGAGAGAGAGAGAGAGAGAGAGGGGTTCAAGGAAACCCCCCTAAAATGAAAAACTAAGGAACACTTCAATAACTATTCATCTATACGTTATGCACAAGTGCATACAAGTAAGAAGTTTCCTGGTTTCTATGCACATGTGCATACGGGAAAATTGCTTGCATATTTAGTTGTATGCACATGTGCATACCTTACAGATGAATGATTACTAGGGTGTCGGTGTGTGTTTGATGGTAGTGAGCAGCGGCTTGTTAATCTCAAGAACAATTTCTTGTTATCTGCAGGTAGCAACAACTAACTACAAGAATCTTGAGATTTTCCCAGAAAGATTTCAGGAGATTCTACTAGATAAGGTTCATGCTTCTTTCCTTTTGACATATAGGCTATCTTTGCAAAACTATTTGATAAGCTAGTTGTTAGTCGATAAAGTAGCTGATAGGCTAGTCGCATTTGGTAAAAGCTAGCTTGTAAGGCAGATGAGGAATGTAAAATGACCTAAAAGGACACATTGGATAGGGTTTTGGTATTTTGTAAATTATAAGAGAGATAATTGGAAATGAAAGTGAAAAAAGCCCATAAAGCTTATTGAAAGTCTGAAACACTATCTGATATAGTTTGTTTAAAAGCTAGCTTATAAGCTTGTTTACGGTTTATCAAACTAGACTTTTTGAATGCTCTTTTTTTTTTCCATTCAACCTTGAATAGGTTAAGTTGTCTGTTTAGATAAATTTGTCTGTTTGAGGGACGGAAACTGATGGGTTTGAAGGAGGCTGAGAGGGAGGGATTACATGTGGGCATTTTTCTGGGATTAATTTGTTTGAGATAGCTTAATGGGGGACAAGTGAGAGGTCCTGGCTTATTCCATATAGCCATTTTGGCTTAATGGCTTAACGATTAAGCCATAAAGAAACGCTCCTGTATGGCTGAGCGAATAAGACACCTAGACAATTAAGTTCATCAAGCTGTAAGTAAAAGTAAACGACCCTTAACTTATGGTTGCCCAACATAGCCACAATTTGACACTCGCTCCATCCCAAATTAGATGCAACTTATGACTACATAGTTTTACCGAAAGAGTTGGACAATTTGATAAATGTCTAAAATACCCTCTTAATAATATAGATACACCGTTTCATTTCCAATGTTTTTAATTGCAGATTGGATTTCGGGAAATCGAGAACTTGAGTTCCAGTTTATCCGGAAGCAAAATCGGATTTAACCGGCCGGTTTTAGCTCTACGGAAGTGAGTAGATGTGGCCTTTGGGTATCCATTTTTGAGGTCTCCTGGAAACCCTTTGTAACTATGAGGATGAATTGTGAACGAACATGGTTCATGGAAACAAAAACTCATATAATACCAATATTTTGGTTTTAAATTCTTTTCTTTTCAACCATCCTGATTGGTTTGAGCTTGGCTCCAAAGGTCAAAAGTACTAGGAGGTTCCCCAGGTTCAAATCCAAGGAGGAATAAAAATCCTCTTGTGGCCATGGAGATTCAAATATGGTGACTCCGGGCTATTTGCAAAGCAGGTGGTCGTCCTAGGATTAGTCGGCTCACATAGTGGGTTGGATATCCAGGTTAATAAAAAAATACTTTTTCTTTTCGTTCACACTTTTGTACAAAGTGTTGGTTTTCACGAAAACAACTGTTATACTTTTGGAGTAGATTAGTAAAGTATAGGTTTGTGTATGTCTTATCCCAAACCTAAATTTCATGTGAGATATGTACACATACTCTCACCGCCCCCTAGGGGCGGACCCCAGTTCATTAGATACGGTGGCACAACCACCTCTACGTTCTTCTGTCGTAAGGTAAAAAAATTTAGACTTGTGAAAGGTGCAACTCTATTGTAATGTAGGGTCCCATTGTATATATGTTGAGACTGTAGTGGTAATACAAGTTTGTCTTGACGGAGTTGGTTTGGATGGCTTTTCTCTCGTCACATGTATGGGTTTGAATCTTGTTTCCATCATTTTCTTAGTTGTTAGGCATTGTTTGGCAAAAATAAGCTAACTTATTTTCTGGGTACATATTTGGTGCACATAAGCTAGTCTATTGAAACGCTACTTGGAGTAACATTTTGATAGCTTATTATCATTTTTTTTAATTATAACCCTTATTAATATTATTTATTATTATTACTATTAAATATAAATAAATATTAATTAAATTTAAATATTATTGATATTAATAAATATTAATTAACCATTA